CCTTGTATTGTTTAATAAGGCCTTGTTGGGTAAGTGGTTATGGGGGTTTGGGGTGGAGAGGGAGAGTTTCTGGAAAAAAATTATAGAAGAGAAATATGGCATGATGGAGGGTGGATGGTGTTTAGTTGAGAGTCGTGGTACCTACGGGGTGAGTTTTGGCGGTTTATTCGACGAAGGTGGAGTGACTTCCGGAATAGAGTGACCTTCGGTATGGGGAATGACAACACTATCAGCTTTTGGGATGACTGTTGGTGTACTGATCAACCGTTAAGGGAGCGATTTCCTTCTTTGTATCGTATTGCCGTGATGTCATCTGCTATGGTGAATGATGTATTAGATACACATAACGGGAGCATCAGTTGGAACATTGTTTTTGGGAGGGGACTACAAGATTGGGAAGTGGATGATTACACAGTGCTATTGACCTCTTTGTATGACGTGCATATCAGGGTTGGAGAGTGTGACCGCATCAGGTGGATGCTGACAATGGATGGCATTTTCTCAATTAGCACTTATTTCAAATCCTTATTGGGATTTGCGGAGAATTTATTCCCTTGAAAGATGGTATGGAAGTGTAAGCTGCCTCCAAGGGTGGCGTTTTTACTATGGACGGTAGTGAGAAGACAAGTTTTAACGGCGGACAATCTTCGATTGAGGGGGTTTTATATTACAAATTGGTATCATATGTGTAGAAAGGATGGGGAAACGGTTAACCATTTGTTCCTACATTGTGATGGCGCCCGTTTGCTGTGGAATGATATTTTGGCTTCTCAACATATGGATTGGGTGATGCCACGGCATATGGAAGATTTGTTGAAGGCTTGGAGGAGAAAGTTTCGTGACAAGGACAGTAAACTCATTTGGGATCTTATTCCAGGCTGCATTGTTTGGTGCGTGTGGAGAGAAAGAAAAGGGCGCTATTTTGATGATCAGATGAAGACTTTAGAACAATTTAGAGAATTATTTTATTTGACATTGTATAATTGATTTAGTGCTGTAGTTTCTAGTCACATAGATGGGCTGCCTAACTTCATGACATTTATTTAAAAAGGGGGGGGGGTTTTTCCCCGTTTTTTTTTTTTTTTTTTCCCTTTTTTTTTTTTTTTAAAGAAAATAAATTCATTAACAACAGGAAAGAAGTAGAAAATCGAAGAACAAGACATCCTCCATAAATTATTAAAAGGATAGTATAGCTGAAAGCATAAATATTGGACAAAGCTTTGCTGAGTTGGTACATTCGTAGTGTAGAAGCCAAAAAAAAAAAAAAAAATCATTAACAATAGGAAAGAAGGAACAAGACTTTCTCTATACATAATTAAATAAAAAATAACCAATAAAATCTAAAAAACTGAAAGCACAATTTGTCGAATTGTTGTTATCATTGTTGAACAGTTACGAGAGTATAACTGGTAAGAGCACCAGCAGCATTAACCACAATGAAAATAGGAAAATACTCAAACCCATAACAAAAATTGGTGAAATAACATTCATCTCTTAATCCAATTGCCACCAATTCACCACAGCACGAAGCAACAAAATTTTAACTCGTTCGTATTATTAAATCCATAAATAATGCAAAAAATAAATCAGCCAAAAGTTTGGTCAGTACAAAATTTCTTCTAAGAACTGGTCAACCTCTTTCGTTACTCTACCAACACATCACCATTCCATGGGAACAAGGAAACATGTAAAATTTCACTAGCTAAGAAGCACTAACACGGACACATGTGCCCCACAAGTGTCATCTTGGCATTAATTTTTTTTAAAAAGAAATATTATTATAATGCTATAATGCAAAGAAAAATATTTTTTTATGAGGGCAATTTATTGATTTTTAATTGGTTAAAAACAAAGTTACTTTTGAAATTATATATAAAAAGGCTAGACATTTTTTAACCCAGCTGACCAATACATTTTAAAAGGAGTTGACTTTCATCTAAATCGTTTTAAAAGGATATCATATAGTCAGGTTAAAAGGCATATTCCCTACGTCTGGACTTAAAAAATAAAAAAGAAGAAGAATTACAAAAGTCTAAAATCAGGTTTGGTTTTTGATAAAATTCTCTTCGAGAGGAAAAAAGCCCATGACCTGCCATCCGCCAAGAAGGAAATACCAGTGCCATAGTGGAACAAAAGTCCCAGAAGGGAGAAGACAAAGAAATATGCCATTATGGTGCTTTTTAGGTTGCGATTTTCATTCATATAAACCAAGAAGGCCAGTTTTTGTTCCCTAATAAATATTTTGGTCCTTTTTCTTCACTCCAGCGTGTAGCTGACATGTCCACTGTAGAAAAAACAAAAAGAAAAAGGAGACACATCACGTAGCATTTCCAACACGTGTCGGCAGCGTGGTGCTTCTTAGGTCATTAGTGTCAATCTTTTTAATGATCATGTATCAAATAGGACTTGCACTTGTTCGAGTATAAACATCCTCTGAGAGTAATTCAATATTGGGGTTGCTCATCGCATTCAAAAACTAAACAGAATCCTTTTTAGCAAGTTTCTCATTAGGAACAAATTATGTCCCGAAACAAGTATCATGCTTTACATGGAATGAAACTTACCAGCAAATCAAAATGGGACTTGATGTGTCACTCACTCATTGAACAAGCACCTCTAAGTCACGGTTTTCGGTTTGCTCTTGAGCATGTTCGAGCATTTTGATGTGTGTGTGTTCCGTGTTGTTTTGTAGGTTCAACAACTTGGAAAAAATGCATATTTTGGAGCTTGGAATGGAGCTAAAGTGTTAATCATGGAAATGGGCATAGAATGGAGATCAAAGGAGAGAAAAATGAAGTGGAAATGGGTTAGAACATGAGCAAATGAGGCGAAGGAAGTACATGGGGTGCCATGGCACCGCATTTGGGCACCTAGGGGCCCAGGAAACACCCAAAACCAGCAGAAAGCTGGGCAATGCAGCGCCAGCCCCTTGGCGCTGCGGTGCCCAGCCTGCCGAAAAAGGAAAAATCAATTTCTTTAAATCTTTTCGCCCAGTCCAACTTCAACTTGTCTTGAAACATTTGGGTAGTATAAATACAAACTTGAAGACCTAATTATGGAGAAGGAGATAGCTAAAAAAAAGATATTGATTAAGAGGAAGAACTACAATTTGGAGGAGAATTCAAGCAGCAAATGAGTTTTTCTTACTCTCTTCTTCTCCATGTTCTTTCTTTTGGATTTGATTATGTTGTTTCTCTCAATTATGAACTAAGGGTGTGTGTGATAGGAGTTGAATTCCATGGAAAATGGAATTGGAATTCCAACTTTCCAATTTTTGGGTGTTTGATTGGCAAAAATTTCCAGGGAATTCATTTTCCACATTTTGGTGCCACATAGACTTTTTCCTTCTTTTGAAGGAAAATGAATTCTAACCAAAATGGTGAGAATTCAATATCCGGTTTACTGTATCAAATTTTTTTTTTGTTTATTTATTTTATTTTTTTTGTTGAAAATGAAAACAAATTCTAAGAATTATTTTAATAAAATATTTCCCTTTAATTGACAATTTTCATATAAAACAAAGTCAAACGAATACCAAAAGATAGATGATTTTCTTGAACTTTTTTTTTGGCAATGGAAACAAATTTCATTACCAATACCAGTAAAATTTATATCTTTAATTGACAATTTTCATATAAAACAAAGTCAAACGAACACCAAAAAACACTTTCATTTTAACATTTTCCATGTGGAAAATTATACCAATCGAACACAATAATTCACAATTCCCAGGAAAACAATTTCTACGCAATTCAATTTCCTGAAATTCGTTTTCTTTCCACCGAAATTCCATCTTTACAATCAAACGGACCATAAATTCTAAATCTAGAGTCTGATATAACCTAACCTGAGACATGTTTGGATTTTACTATAATTATTTCTTTCGATCTTCCTATTAATTTATTTGTGTTGATTCTTGCGCATTGCTTTCAATTACCTGATCAATTGAATGATTTGATGTTCTAAATTTCGGCACTCGAGATAGGGAGATTTAGGCGTGATCTAAGAATAACACAACCTAAATTTTGTAAGTTTCGAGAGAAAATATGAAATCTTTGAGACTTATTCCACTTAAGAACCGTGTACTTGATAATTTCTATATATTTGATTTGGAATAGAGCTATTGGAATTAAAATATAGAAATAAGTTCTATTTGGCACTCGAGAGAGGGAATAGAATTAATCCAAGGTTCTTTCCTATAAATTTAGGAAAAATTGATAGAAGTAAATATTGAAGTTGAAAAACATCGTTTATAGGGTGGCTCTGTATCACGGACACTTCAATTAGGGTAGCGTATCCATGTCCGACGAACTGTTCAATTAGGGTAGCATGTCCGTGTCCGATACGTGTCAGACACATGTCGACACCGACATTCCTGGGACACTACCATAAATATTTTTTATTCTTTATTAAAAATATTATATATTTTTAATTCAAAGTTACTAGTAAATAACGAATAGGTACTCATATTTGAAAGATTTCAACAAAAAAATTAACAACAAATATAAAACTAAATTAATACTATATAAAAGAATATTTTTTAATAATTTAATCAACGTGTCGATGATGTGTCGTGTCAATACTTTTTTAAAAAATTACGTGTCAGATCGACACGTATCATGTCGAACACACGTGTCTGTGTCGGTGCATCATAGTAGGGTGGTAAAACCATTCCCTAGGCTTTCTCATGCTGATAAATCTCTTATAATTTGCTTTAATCTGCTTGAACTATCATCAAATACCACAGTATATTAATATAAAAAATAAATTCTAAATTTGATTTTCTAGATAAAGTAAAAGCTAAAATACTTATATTAATTAGTAGGAATCAAATATCAATCCCTGTGGATTCGACACTCTACTTCCAATATTATATTACAAAACTTAATACCATACACTTGCGACAATTTCACATTGTAGAAAACGCGTGACAGGACTCAGCTGCTATACTCAAACCATGGATTCAACATAAAGACTAGAAACGATGCATTAATAGTTACCTGATTTCCAGAACCAGGATCTGATAACGAAGCATCGGTGAATGGAAGCTCACCACTTCGCATTTTGTGCTTTTCATACTCTAATAGTGCCTGCAAAGCCAGCTGGTTAGCTACGAATTGTAAGATGCAAAAACAATCTTAGAGAAAGATCTAAAAATTATTTAATTTAGTAAAATAACGTTGCAAAGAAAAGAAAAGAAAAACAGTAAGTAATGGCAAATTACAAAGCCATGTCCGCTGAATTCTAATGTAAAATTATGCACAAGGCCTTAATCATAATAAATACATATAGGACCAACAGAAATAACCAAAAAGATTAAACAAGAACTAGATGAATGCTAAGTAATTGATTCTGCCTCTCTAACTGATTTTCCCAGCCACCAGTTCGCAGGAAAACTCATCCTTGGTTTTGACTTTCCAAGATAGATAATTTCTCAAACTTCATCATCTTTCGCCTCTCTTTAGGACTAACACACAACAGAGTAATCTTGCCATATTCAACCTCTATAAACAGGGCATCCAAGCTAGATAAAGTGAAATATTTTTAACCACTTCAGTCAAATGGTAAAATTTCCTACTTATCATGTCCTTGTAATGCTTTTTTGTGAAAATCATTTAAATTAATGCATGTATTACATTCCCGTTAGACCAATGTGTAAAACATTCAAAAAGCTACTATATGTTATCTGACTCCAAATTCCCAAGGGCCATGTCTTTAGATGGACTCAACACAGGAAATATTTTATGATATTGGCATGAACCAAATAATAACATAATCCTTGATAGAAAATCCTGCACCTCCCAGAATACTAACTTAAAAATGTAAAGGATAATAAACAAGTCATGAGAATACAAGGTGACCAAGGAAGAGTAGAGTGGATGATGCAGAATAAAGTAATTTGTATAAAATATATATACAACTAGGATGTGTATGATGATATAATCACAAGTGTGTAAATCTATTGGATAAGTAGTAGAAAATTATCCTTTACTATAGAATTGTTTCAAGTCATCATCATTTTCATTAGTTGTGAATAGCTCACTAAGATATTTGGAGTATCCACTCGTTTAGGACATAAATGTTAGTGAATGAGAACTGAAGGATATAAATGGTAATTGAGAATTTTGGAGACCTATAGTTTTGGAAGAAATTTAACATTCTAGTTCAAGTAGTACTAAGATGAAACTTGTCCTTTTAGTCACGCAAGAATAATTGCGAAAATTAATTTACAATGGAGTATGAGTTGTCTCAAAAAATTGTTCACTTTAAGTATTTAAATTTGATATAAATAAGAAGGGAAAAAAAATTTCGCTTTAAGTATTTAAATTTGATATAAATAAGAAAGGACTTCACGACAAAACAGAGTTGGACAAAATGGAGAAGTGTTACTAGATTTTTTTACATAACAACTACAAGACTAAGTTTTGTCGTACCAAGTATTAGATCATTAAAAACAAAATGTCAATAAGATGAATGTAGCAGAATGAGGATGTTATCTTCGCTAATTTTCTCTCTCTTTTTTTGAAGTTTAACTTACATCTAAAATGGCTCAAAAACACTCAAAACTAGGCCATGTAGAAAAGCATGTCTAAGAATTGAAGTTTGTGATGAAAGCCCAAAACCACAAGAAACTAGAGTACACACCTCAGTCGCCCAAAATTATATTTTATTAAGACTTTTGATTAGCAGCAGCTGTAATGCAAAGGGATATTATAGTTGTCAATGTCTGTAAAAATTCTAATTGAGAATCCAGAAACCTACAAAACTCAGCTAATTTTTATTCATGTTATGTAGATATTATATTGCTGCAATGTCATGGAATCAGAATCGATCAATTCCTCCACTCGCTTATAATGCATCCAGTGCCTTTCCTTTTCTGGTTACCCTCTCCAAACAGACTAAGGTTTAGAACATCGTAAAAGTGCTTAAATGTCAATTTGTTTCTTTAAAAAGCTTTCAGCCATGCATATACCGGTAACCACATCCCAAGAAAGCAAATGCAACCAAGTTTCTCACAGATTCTAGGCATTTCGCTAGTAGAGAATATCTGCTTTTAGCTTTTGCACCAAGGGAACAATGTACAGAGTACTTACTACACATTTCCCATGTTCAGTTCAGTCCCTTAACAAGACCCTTGCCACTTATCAATATATTAGTGTACAACCAAGTATACATAGCAAAAATATTAAAATAAAACATAATTGAGTTAGAAATAATGTTGTAAACAACTTCAATGAAAAATTTCCAAAACCAAGAAAGATGTTAAAGGAACAATTGAAAACAGGTACTTGAGCATAACCTTCTCATAGAAACCTCGAAATGTCCAAGAGACGGTGGTACAGGTCCTGCAGAAGTTTATAGTGTTAAGAATGACATGCAAACCAACCAAGAGAAAAAATTGGAAGTGCATACGCAATGACAGGTAGGTGAGTTAACAGAAATGGCACAAGAAACAGGAGAGATTGAGTTAGATCTCTATAATAAATGTCATCTTTTTGGTTTATTTTATCATGATACAAGAGTGTATATTAACAATTTCAAAATTAAGCTCCATAAGAAATTACAGAGTTTGACCATCAGAGAAAAATTGTTCTACCATATGAGACGTAGCAAATGGTTATATGAACACAAGTTTCTTTTCTTACTTGGGGGGTCTAAACGATTCCCCTACTTGGCGCCACAGCTTCAATGCAGTCACCTATACATTTAGAAAGTGAAGCAGCCTATGAATGTCCATGCTGGACAGCTCAAGTCAATATATTCAGAAAAAAGAACGCATTTAACAGTAGATATAACTAATAAGATTATACAAGAAGGATGTAAATAGAAAACCATGGGTTAATAATCCTTTTAAACGAAAGAATACAAATTTACCACCTCTGATATTAATGTAGATACAAAAGTCACTGAAATCTTAAGGTCTAGTGTAACTCCAAGGATCCTCTTGACTCTAGAAGTGTTTTTTTTAAATGGCAAAGAAACTTGAGTTCTGATTAGAACAGGAAGAAAGTGTACAAGGTTCACCAAGGAACAATGGATTGAGTAGGAAAGGCAGGTTAGAGAAAAGTTGGAAGAAAGATTTGCTCTCCATTCTCAAGAGCAACCCAATAGAGATTAAAAGGAATTCAGTTTGAAAAAATATCGAAGAAAGCAAAAAACAACTTGAAGAACTCTGATGCAATAATTCCTGACTATATCAAATAAATGCATACATGAGAGAGGTTGACAATAAGTTCCTACAAAAATTAACCACTTGCCTGAAAAAATAAATAAATAAATAACAAATAAATGCATTCTAGTTCTATATTTGTTCAAATAAACTTATTATTAAATATAAGATAATTCTTCCAAAGTTCCTTTTCATCTGACTCGGGTAGATTTTGTGGTATGCATTCGATACAGCTTTTGGCCAACCCTCTCGACAACTAAGATATTCCCTTATATCGGTATAGTCTTAAATCTTTTCCTCATTTTTTTACCATTCAGACGAGTAATGAATTGGTCAGTTATTTTCCTCTTTATTCCTGTCTGAAAAATATATTCTTCCTTGTCCATATGCACCAAAGCAGAAAAAGTTCGGTTAACATTGTCAACTACACATGAGAAAATTACAATGCATAATCCCCACGCACTTCCTATTAAATATATATTTATGCACATAAATACTTGTGCCATTTGGGATATTCCATTATGGTGGCATATGAGACAAAAATGTTTCCTGAAGCCAACGAAGTGAATAACCTTTCAGATATTTTCCTTAACCCAGCTAAGAGATGTATGATGGGCCTAGGGAGCATGCAAAATAACCCAGAA